CATGGCTATAGGAAAGGCAATGTAATGAGTTAATTCCCATGTCTCCGCATGAAACACCACCACGGTGTCATCATCGTAGGCAATTACATCGCCATCAACTGCAAGACTGCAGAGGTAATTTATATATATATATATATATATATATATATATATATATATATATATATATATATATATATTAAAAAGAATCGGTCCAAGTACTGTACCCTGTGGAACTCCATCCTTAGTGTCAAAGCACGATGTGAAATACTGGAAATAATGTCAATGATAGACTATCACCAATTGGACTAAAAAGAGTTTTTTGTTCGAGGCCTTACTAATTGTGAATTTCTTTTGATATTAATGTATTAGAGGGTGGCCAAGATAAGGATCAGACTAGGTTAAATTCAGTAATCTCACATCGTTAAATTCGTAGAAAAAGATGCTATTAGATACAGGGTAGTACTTTTATAAAAACACCATCATGTAGTGTTTAAATAGTGCCATTAGTTTTTAGACATTTATTAGAAAAAGCGTAGGGTGTTAACCCTAACACACAAGTAGATGAGTATGCAAGGCTCACCTCGTTTGTTGCACAGATATCCTGTTTCCCTCAGAAGAGTTGGAAGTAGACCTAAATTCCACTTTGGAGACACTTAACACCGAAATCACAACAGTAAAGCACCAAAGCACCACTGAGAGACAATCGAGAACCCTATAGTGAACACCACCACTGAAAAAAAGCAGCTAAACCGAATAGAGCTTTGCACGGTGCTGTGAACGCGTCGACATGTCACCGCGCCGACGGTTGTCGAGAGTCTGAAGCGTGTGAGTGCTGTACCTCGCTCCGGCGATACGGTACGGCCGGTACTACAGCCACGCCCCTTTCCAGCTCCCACTCCGCGTGTCTGCTCCCGATCAACGTAAACATCCAGTCACTTCGTGATACTGTTCAGTAATGAGATACATTAACGTTCCCCCGCATAGACGCCAAGCGACGTAAAATGTAAATCACAGCTTGCCTTTTTAGTTTCTTGTCAAACACTGCTACGCCTCAAATTTTATATATCTCCATTGATATCCCTGAGTATTTCATAAAAAGCTTACGTTTTTTATAATATTCTAGCAAAATAGCACAGATATCAATATTGTCCGATGAGCTGGCAACGCTGCAATATAGGTGACAAGAATGACAAAGTCAACTGCCAAAACGTATGTCTATCCCGGGATAACTAACTTAGTGACTGAATTATGTATAATTTCTTAATATTCAATGAGCTGGTGATGTTTCAATGACAAGCTGTCATCTCGTATTTTAACAATATTTTGTTTTCAACATTTCATAGCTACTGGTTGCTAAAATTTGTTGATTGGAAGTTGAAGCTCATTCGCTGTATTTGACGGACTGTTACCCTATAGGTGGAGAAAACGGACTGTTGATTTGACAATCCTGGTTAAATCCACCCTAAACATTTAATAACTGTATGCTGACTTAATCGTATACTGTTTGTCTTTCTTTAACTACTATACAGGGTGACTTCGAAGTTGAGTCATTTATTTTAACAGTGAGTAGATCTGATCAAAGAAATGTTTTTTTCCTTTACCATTTTTCTGGTAAAATTAAAGTAACAAAGTTATAGCCCTTTGGAAGTTTGAGTACCGCCCTGTCTCAATAATAATATTATGTGCTCGTGTTTGGCAATAACGGATATAATCCGCCGGTTCATCGCATCGGAAACAAAAAAGCGAAAGAATTTGGAACGATGTTTTTACAATTATTTTATTCAGTTGTATACAGTCAGTGTCAGTCGGTAACGCGTGAGTGAATAGTGGTGTCTGTTGCGTGGCTCAAACGAAATAAAAAATGGCACATGTTTATGCGGATCGGTTTCCCAATCGAGTGCAACCAACCCCTCGTGCCTTTGTTAATGTAGTACAACGGGCTCGTGAATCAGGTGACTTAAGACCTCACAGGGGACGGCATGCCGGTGCTCCAAGACCTCACGATCAAATACAGGTCCGCAATGAAATACTTGTCGGGAGGATACTTTATAAAACAAGGTAAATTTTTTTTATTTTTACACACATATTTTGGTTTATCTTCCTTCTACAATCATTATCTGAAAATTAATGACTCAACTTCATGACTACCTTGTATATAACGACAGTCTACGCAACCTTTCTAGAACGCCTCCAGCAATGCATCGTCAAAAAGGTCACCACATGACTGATGTCATTTTCGACCCTTAATTGTGACAAACGCTATTTCAATGTGAACCCGAATCCGTCAATAAATTTGTTATTGAGCAAAAATCGTCGATTTTGTGATTAGATTTTTTCCTCCTTCTTATGTTCTTTCTCTTTTTATCTATTGCAATTCAACATACAATTGATCCATGCACAGCCTTTGTTCTTCTATCACACATTTTATGTTACTTGTATTTATAGAGGAGATAAATATTAGTAATACCATTACAATGCCCTCTTTGCTCATATAGTTGTGGCGTTACTAAGATGCTTCCTCAGCGCATACTTAGACGAGGGTAAACGCATGCTTCCTTTCTTGGACGGAGATTAAAAATAACATTGTTCGGTGCTATTCAAACAGCAAGATCGATTGGGAGAGGAACTGACTTCTAGCAAATCGATGAAACTTCAGGGAAATATGCAAGACAGATTCCGGCCGCATATTGCGCGAGGAAAAGTTGCACAAAGTTCCCGCTGACGCCACCAGCTTCGTATAATCTACCTAAGAGGATTGTTAAATGTTGTATAGAACTTCGACATAGTTCGAATGGAAACTCCGAGTTTACTTCTAACGTAAAATTGAATTATTAGGTATTTACTTGCGTAGTATGTTCTTCAGCAAGAATTATACTTTAAAAGTTAGAGGGCTTGGCTTCAAAGGCTCTGATTTCAGCGCCTACTTAACAAACAGGAGCGCTCAAGTGAAGTCAATTTAATAACAAGTCTGTTGGAGTATGCTACAAGAGGTACTAAGCATTTTAGGATGATTATGACGTCATAGAGTTACGTTGCCATCAATTTTATATAACTCAAGTATCACAGCATAATTATACTTCTGAATACAATGATATTCACTTACTTTTCGTCTGTCAAGTTCGTTAACGTCAACTCAACAACTGACCACGTAGGATGCCATTTGCTACAGTTTCGCCAAGTTTTGTGGCAAAACCTATAAAATGTGAGCTGATGTGCGTTATGTAGCTATTTGTGAAAAGGATTGTGGAGAAAAGAAATGAAAACAGTGTATATCGATCCCACACGCTGCCAACAGCCATACTGGATTCCTGCGCAGATGAATAGAGTTTTCAATTATGATTCCAGAAATGTATTAAATACGTCATACATTGACGTTGCCGAACCTTGGTTAATTAAAAAGATCTTGAGTAGGCCTTGAAATCATCAGATTATTCGTTTTGCATACCAGATTTATCCCAAAGTCAGTTTATTCGTCCTGACTTTATTTGAGATGGGATTCAAATAAATTGCATGCTGTGGTTCTTACTATTCTCCTCTACAAGAAGGCATAGACAATCTTCGACTTCCATCACCAACGTTGTTTTTTCATATGAATGCTATATTGGTGTTTTGTACATCTAAATGGTCCTTTAGTAGTAAATTCGGGGACGTATTTCCTTAGTTGGCCATGAATTTGTCGTTGAATGAAAATTATAAAGAAATGAAAATGTAGGGTGAAACCTGATAACAACATGCAAATTTTATTTACGATAATAACAATAATGGTCATAAACAAGCAGAGTTTAATCATAGCAGATGATGTTAGTTTGTAGGCAAGCTTGACTCTTCTCTGTACATTATTCATTGCTCGATTTATTTCTCTTCTTCTGAGTCTTCCAAACTCGGTTGCTATGTTCAATTTGAGGTTTGATCTGGTATACCAAACAAATGAGATCTGATAATTCCTAGTTTCTACCCAAGAAATTCTGTTTTCTAGAACAACCAGGGATTGGCAATGTCAATTATTGAAGTCATTAAAAAATTAAAACGATTTTGGAAAAATTCGGTTTGTTCCGTCTCTTTCTGGAAGTACAATTTCGAAACTTTCTAAGTGGTTATCTGTTGATTACCTAAATACGCAACTTTGCCCCGTTTAAGATACTTAGTATCTCTTACACCTTTCAAACTGTAATGGTGTTGGTAGAATTTGAATCTCCTGTATACGTGGGTATTCCGTTTGACTAGAATATATATGGAAAACACATAATTTAACACAAGAGCTTTGTCAAAACCATCAACTATTTTCGATTGAGTGATTAACATTACTACACACAATCACTACCGATAAAACCATTCAACCTCAGTAGAAAAAATCTAATATCATACTGGAAATATATATTTATCGTATAGAGAATAAAACAATCATTGGTAATGACCATTTTATATTGTAGGACGTCTCTTTCTGTCACAGTGAAGATAAACGATCATTTTCTTATGATGGGTAGTCCATTAAGCTTTGTATTTGAGGTATATGAGTGAAATATGAATGGTGCAACTTAAAAGCTCCGACACACAGCCATCAATAATTATTGACCACAAAAAGTGGAGAGACATCCGTTGATTGATCGCCGCAAATGAAGTGAGAACTCAGATAGTTCGGGAGAAATGGGTGGTGATCGGATGTTTTCTGTGTGTTAACCTAAACGCTGAATCTAGCGTTATTTTATTTAATGAACATTTAGGTCAATGATTCACTAGCACCCAGGAGCCAAATTAAGCTCAAGCATACTCTAGACAGGAGTTTCCAACCAGGGGGGCGCGCCTCCAAGGAGGGCACAGAGATATGTCAAGGGGGGGCGGGAAGCGTTGTATTTTAGGAAGGCAAAACAAAAAAAAAAATAAACAAACAACATTCACAAATAAAATTACACTGTAATGTTTAATTTACACGCGTAAAATTAGAAATTAAATATCATATTCACTTATTCTGTCAACCGCTGTTTCAAAACCCGGCGTCGTAAATCGCAGTTTATACAAGTTTCGACAAGTCACCACATGAAATCCGCGCGCACCCCGCCGCGCTCTGCTTAACATTGATCGCTTAGAAAATAATTGTGTACCTACCAGACGCAGATAAGCATCTGTGTCATTTT